ATTTGAATCCCCTTTGACCCGATCCAAATCGGAAGTGGACCCCACTGATAATTGTACCACAAAATAACTACTTAACATGTCATTTTATGCCATTTTAATGCTATTTTTCCAACAATCCCCCACATGAATGAAAATTGATTTTCAGGGTATTTTGAAATCGGAAACAACTGTGTTTAACGGTCGATCCCTGCATAGGATAGGTAGGGATCACTATACCCTTTGAACCTTCCCTTGTGAAGACATGTTTACTCTACTGGCTGTACGGTAGAACGCGATGTCTTTGAACCGACTGCCGTTTGTGTAGACGATGACATATCTAACACAGGAACCTCCCAACCATGCTCTGTTCTCATGAGTGTGCCCATTTTGGTCGTGGGTCACCGTCCTGGTTCTGCAAGAGTTTGTGAAGAATTGTGCCCATCAATTCTCCTTTGAAGCGACCCTCACTTCTCTCTCACATAGGTGATTCTTTTCCGAGTATCCCGCATACTCACACATGTCAACCGACATTCGAATCATTAAAACATCAACATGCTAACCTTGCGCGGGAGTCACTGTTTCTAACGAGGAGTGGTAGGGAGTCCGAGACCCCCACAGTGACACGCTCCGTTCCATAATTTAGTTGTCCCATTGAACCTAGGTGCCAGCTAGGTTGGGTATCCACTATAGAACTTTTAGTCCAAGGGCTTTAGACCCATTCCTCGTTCCAATTTCTCCACAACCATTTGCTTACCCTCGGGTTAGCTAGTTAGCGGCCGCTACGTTATCATTTGACATCACGTAGTCAATAGAGATAACCCCTGTTGTGAGAAATTGTTTAATGGTATTATATCTACGACTTATAAGTCTAGACTTACCATTCCATATTTAACTCTGTACTTTAACCAATTTTGGCTTGACTATCGCAATGCACACAAATTGGAGGTACGAGTTCACCACTAGGAACATTCTCGAAATAATGGCATAGCCATTCGGCCTACTCGCTCGCGACACGAGTGTAAGGCTCTCAGCTTTGATCCCGTCAGATCTTAGCTATCACAAATTCATTTCGAGAATTTCCGTCCAACCGACTGCACTGGCCTACGTAAAGACGTAGCCTTTAATGGACTTAGCGTCCTTTGATATCCGTGCTATACTTTCCAAGTACGGCTAGATATCCCACGTAGTGCAGTCCAAAGTCACGAGCATACTTAGTTGAAAAAATCGCTAGGCGTTTTAAGCGCTTTTTAAAAAAATAATAAAAAAATTAAGATTTGATAATTATAAACTATTTAATATTTTAATAGTTAATACTAAAATATTAAATATTAACCTAAAAACATCTAGAACTGTAAGTTGTATAAAAATTTAAAAAATCAAAACACAATTCCACAAAGTCAACTCACAAAGTATCAACTTACAGCCTGTTTGGTTTGCTGGAAAATATTTGAAGAGAAATGGAATTGATATTGTATGAAAAATAAATTTCAAGAAAATAGATTCCATTGTTTGGTTGGTGGAAAAAAAAATTACTAGGAATATGGATTCCATTGTTTAGTTGGGTTTAGAAAGGCAAAGAATAATGAATATAAACACTACTGGAAATTATGGAATTTCCGATCACTTGAAAGTGATCTTAAATCAAGTTGAAAGCAAAAAGTGGTCGGAAATAGCAACAAAGGTTTTTCCGGATACCAAAAGTGGTCAGAACAAGACTTTCGACTTGATTTAAGATCACTTTCAGGTTGTCGGAAATTTCATAATTTCCAGTAGTGAAAGACCAATATGCCCCTAAAAAGATCAATGAATAAATATGTATCTATGTAATTAAGAAACTTTCATAAGGGTAAAATGGTCCAGTCATGTTACTTTTTTGTAATGCCTGTGAAAAACAAAATCCCACCCGGCCATTTGCAAAGAATTCATTTTCCTCAACTTCGAGAAATTCATTTTCCAATGAATTCCATGAACCAAACAACATAACACTATATTTTCCTTAACTTTTAGGAAAACATTTTCCTTGGAAAATGTTTTCCATCCAACCAACACCTCCTTAGTTCCAAACTTCCAAATCAATTCATAGAATCATAGAGAAAATGATAAAGTTAAACTCCAAAATAAAGAAATCAATACAAAAACTCAAAGTTTTCAAAATTCAAAACAAAGTAAAAAACAAATAATAATAAAGTAAAGTCTTCATCCAATTCTACAAAACAGTAGCGACTAATTTCAAATGTTTTTAAAATTTCTTAGGTTTGCGATCGATTTGGACGATTTAAGGTTATTTTGCTCAAAACAACGTCATTTTGGGTGAAATAACATATTAAAAAAAAACACTGGCTAATTGGGCGACTAGGTGGCCTAGTCGGCGCCTAGGCCGCCTAGAACACCTATTTTGGTGATATTCTAGGTGATGGGCCGGCACCTAGAGCCTAAGCGCGATTTGTGCACCCATGACTAGCGGCTAATGCATGTGTAACTTTATTCCAAAAATGTAATACGAGCCAATACTGGTGTTTGTCCTTAACTGAATGAAAATTGTGTTTGTTAGTTCTTTGTGATATTTGTGTTGTTCCTTTGCACTTATTTTCCAATTTCACCCTTCAAATTTTCTTTTGATCTTTATTTTAACCTTAGTTGTTAAAATAATTTGCATTAAGTGCTTTTACAGGGAATGATGTTATTTTTGTTTTACATGTATAATTTCTTATCAAATTTACCCTCAATGTACTTTTCTTTTGTCACTTCTACACTTCTATCCTCACTATGTAAAATACAATCACATGCATACATGTGCATATATGTAGTTTTTATAAATAAAATAAAATTTAATAATAATTTTTAATTATTGAATAATGTATGTATCTATTTTCATATTATTTTCTTTTTGAGTACTATTGACTCTGTTATAATGTAGTATCTGAGATATTATTTTCTTATTTAAAAGTATAACTTCTATTTTGACATTAAAAAAAATTAAAATTTCAATTTTTTTTTTGTGTGTGTGTGTGTGTGTGTGTGTAAAAGAGTTTAGTGTTTCATTTGTTTCTTATTGGATGTGGGATATGTGCATCATTGGCTTATTGTCAACAAATCATTTCTATTTCATTTATTATGGTATTGATATTAAAATTTAATTATAATAAAATAAATTATAAGAAAAACTAATTGAATTCCTAAAAGCTAATTTTTAAAAAAAAAAAAAAAAAACACAACACCTACTATGTTCAATGCATTTTAAAAAATTATGCTAGATAGTAATATTTCTTATCATCAAATTAAAATTCTATCTTCTAATATTTATTTTGAGAGCAACTTTCCTTCCACATACATCATGAATCAACACTCATTTATCTCTACAGTACAGCATTGATATATATATTTAGGGGTGCGTTCAGGTGACAACGAGCTCCCAAGAGGGCAATGAGAACCAATCACAAACGTCGATTACTGGAACCCTATTGACCTGCTATTACAGGTCATCTATCTTCTAATATTTATAAGATTTATGTGTTTATATAATTATATAATTATTTTAATCATTTAATTTTACTAGCTTTTAGTTATTCATTGGACAATATATATTCAGTTGCACATGATGCGTATTTACACCTAATTTTCTTATACTTACATATCAGCATGCATATCAGTCAGCGTCACGTTTCGAGCATAGGATATACCCTGAAAATCAATTTTTCATTCATGTGGGAGATTGTTGGAAAAATAGCATTAAAATGGCATTTTAAGTAGCTATTTTGTGGTACAATTATCAGTGGGGTCCACTTTCGATTGGGTCGGGTCAAAGTGAATTCGGGTTCTTCGTAATGAGACGAATAGATTGATTTATTGTACGCTCAAAACAGATAATGGGTCAATGAGATATTGATTCTCAAAGTAGACCCATTAAGTTGGAAAAATGAAGGGAAAAAGTGAGCTTTTGTCCCACATTGGTTTGGGAAGAGGATTTGCCCCACTATTTATACAAGAGCACTTTTAAAGCTTATTGAATTGTATGCATAGAGGTTCTCTTTCGCGCGCACGGGAGAGGGGGGTGGTGCAAATCAAATCTCAAACTGAGATCGAAAAGGCTTGATCCTAGCCTAATCTCGTGTATGTCGACACTTGCGGGAGTAAAAGGTCTCGTGTATGTCGACACTTGCGGGAGTAAAAGGCCTTTTTAGCGGCTTTCGGTGTGTGTGCAGGAATGGTAACGTCTATACTGTTTACCTGACTGTTTGAATGGGTTAATTTAGCTGGGCCGCTGGCTTCGGTGTGTGTGCAGTGGTAAACCGCGTCGGTATGGTACGTCTATACTGTTCACCTGACTGTTTGAATGGGTTAATTCAGTTACGGAAATAATTGTATATTAATTTCCAGAATTAATCTCCATGTTAAATAGTCAGTTTTGAAGGTTACAATCTGATTTTTAAATCGGATTTAATGCTATTGTTGAATGCTATTTACATCTCAATCTCCTATATAAGTTTGTTGTTGGAGCAGCAGATTTACAAGAACGAACAAGTGAAGCACAATAAAAACACACAACACAGGAATTGTTTTCTTCTTCTCAAAACTCTGCTCCTACTCCGTTCTTTGCCTAACTGTGTTCAAGGCTTTGCTCTAGTTCGCCGGGTTCGATCGTTTGGGTGCTCAAACGTCGAATCGTAGCATGTTTTATCCTAGGAAGCCTAGGGCACAACGCTCCTAGCACTTTTGGGAGGTGGCAAATAAGGTTTTAAGGAGATAGTGATCTCTAAACTCGTGCTAAAAAACCCTACACGAAACACAAGCCACTATTTTTTCTTCTCCGGTTTTGGGATTATGCCTCTAAGCTAAAATCCTTGCACTACACTTTGTTTTCTTTTGGTTGGAATTATAATATGAGGATTATTTGTTCCATTTTGGTTGATATACGTATATATTTTTCGTAGATATAGATGTATATAACCGTGGGGGTCTGATTTATATATATTTGTGTGTATATATATATTTCGGATATATGCCAAATAATATTTTATATACTTTCGATCTTGTGTATACAGGGACGGAGCCAAAGGGGGGGGGGGGGGCAGGGGGGCACCTGGCCCCCCCCTCACCCCACCCCCACCCCATATATAATTTTTGTATGTATATATGTATATATAGTATAGGTTTTAGTATTAGTATAAAAAAACTAGTAAATGTTAACAAGTAGGGAGTTAGTTTAGTTGGTAGGGCATGTGGTTGGTAATGAGAAAGGTTTTGGGTTCAAATCCTTGCATTATCATAGTTTTACATATTTTTGAGTTCTTCCACTATGGCTTCAACACAGTCACTTTTTTGTTATTTAACATGTGTAATGTATAATGCGTTTTATATTCAAATTATTTTATCAAATTAATTATGGTTCATATTTTGTTATGAACATTTTTATAAAGTTTCGATGTGTTTTATTTTTCGCACATATCCAATAATATTTAGAATTATGTTTCTTAGATAATGGTTATAAAAAAAAAAAATTCTTAAGTAATTTATTTATTTTTTTAAAATCATCTCTTTTGTATTTAATGTTTCGCTTTTATTGGAAAAAATTTCTAAATCTGTCCTACTTCTTCGCCCCCCCAGTCGAATTTCTGGCTCCGTCCCTATGTGTATATATAAATATATATTATTTTGCGATATTAAATCGACTTTGGTTCATTATCTCCAACACATTCAACTTTGCAAATACTAAATACTCAAACACTCCACACACGTAATATATTCAACATACAAGTATACAACACACATTAATTAAAATACACCCCATTTATTGGGACAACATTTGTTGCTGTGACAAAATGACTAGAGCCATTTGTTGCAACATTTATTTCATATTATATATATGATAGGTTGAGATTTGTGTGATGCACTATTTTTGTGTCATGAAAATAGTGCATCATACAAATATTTTCATTTAACACTTATGGGAACAGTAACATGTTTGTTGTTGACAGTTCCATTTGTAGCCACCCTTGCCCTTGCACCACCCGCCACAGTGCCCTGAGCAACCTCCATTCCAAGAGTTGCGTGAAACACATCCGCCATGGCCACCGCCACCGCCTCCCCCACGGCCACCGCCACCCCCATGGTGTTGTGCTTCAACCTCTGCATTCATATTATTTCGCAACAACGTCAATCATGGCTAACCACGACACTCACATTCATTTTATTAATTATTTTGAGTGACAAGGAAAATCCACCACAACTACTCGATGGTGTGCCGGGGTAAACCACGTCTTGTGATCCTAGCCGGCGAAGGACCACAAGGAGGTTAAATAGTATAGTTCGCTCATAACTGACTATTGGACAAATTAAGAAGCAGTGTTGCAAAAATCCTGCCTAGGTAATCGGTGCCTATACTAGGCGCTAGACGCTGATCGGCCGCCTAGCGTATCACCATAATTGGTGGTCTAGGCGGCTGGCCGGCTATGCGACCGACTAGACTTCCTAGGCACCGACTAGGTCGCCTAGTCGGCCGATTAGCTATTGTTCCCTTCTTTTTTAAATAGGTTATTTCACTCAAAACAACAATCGTTTTGAGGTAAATAATCTTAAATTGTTCAAACTCTAGATGTTTTTTAGGGTAATATTTAATATTTTAGTATCAACTATTAAAGTATTAAATAGTTTATAATTATCAAGTCTTTAAAATTTTAAAACGTTAAACAAATTTTTAAAAAATAAAAATATAATAAAAACTACACGGGCACCTAGGCACCGATTAATTATATTGCTGCCTATGTGACCTAGGCGCTAGGTGCCCCCGAGTGCCCAATGAGCGTTTTAAGAAGTATGAAAACTGTATTGAAAAAAGAATTAGAGATCGAAACCCACCATATGATGCAATGAGGATGAAGCAAAAGAGGATAGCAACAAAGGTCACTTTGTTAAATTGTGTAAGACCCATTCTTCTTCTTTGTTTCTTCTTTGTTTTTGTGTTTGTTTGAGAAAATTTAGGCCGTGAAGAGGGAATTTATAGGAAGATCAAATGGATTTGCGAAGATGTTTTGAATGGATCAAATAGTTTTTAAATGTTTTGTCATCATGAAAGTGACAACAGATAGCAGGCTTGGCAGAGGAAGGCTTTATGTATAGTCCAAACGCACATTTTGCAATCGAAAGATGCGTTGTTTTGGCCCAACATGCATCATTTTAAGATGAATTAATACTCATGGTTTATTTATACAAACTTTTACTTATTCATATTTCACTTTTTTTTAAAACAAAATTTTTAAATGTTTTTTTGGTAAGCCTATATATGCCTCCGTACAAAAACAATTAATAGTTCTGCTTAATTTTCAATTTAAATAACCGCCGATAATAAATTTAGAACAAAAAGAACATCAATATATTATGGCTCGATTATGTAACTTGATTAAATTGACGTACCAGTTCATCCTATGATAGCTTCTGCTGATTTTCCATACATCTTTGAGCCAGTCTTATCTCCTATAATGGTGTCCACAACGTTTTATTTGTTAAATATTAATTATATGACTACATTATTTTACTTTCGTTTTCTGTTAAGAATTAATTATATGACTACATTATTTTACTTTCGTTTTCTTTTACGTTGTAAACTTTAACGAAAGCAAATAATTCAATTGTGCTGAGGTGATCATATAACATTGATTTATTTATAGTAATAATTAAACACTTACGTACTATTACACCCAAAGTTATAATCAGTAGCGAATTGAAATATGACATCGATCGAGGTGTTGACCAAGTTGGTTATCACAATATACCGTCTTTGTTGGGTAAGGTTTGAAGAGTCGAGCCCTACATCTTACTATCCAAGCATGGTGTTGACTATTATTAATACAACTCTAAGATTATATCGTATTAATGTAATGTTTAAGAGTGAAATTTTATCAAACTATGTAAAGAAAAAAGACATGACTATACTTTGAGTAGCAAGTGAATTCTAGAGCAAAGCGGAGTGGGACGAGAGATTACTCAATTCATTTTTGTCATATTTTATAGTACGTCAGAATACATAGGCCAATGAGATTTATTGGTCGATCACATATTTACTTATTCAATCTTTAATGATATTATAAATTAATCTCCATATGCATGGTCAAGTAGTCAACCCATTTTAGTTGAGCGGTTTTGGTTGTGGCCACAAAATATGACATCAAATTCCTACGTATGCTATTAATAAAAAATAAAAAATAAAAAAGTCTAGCTTTCGTAGTTTTAGTTTTTTGTTAAAAAATTATTTAAACCCTCTTTTGTAAAATAGTTAGCCTATTAATCAATTTTAACTTGTTTGATTGACTTGGTTAAACAACCCATATGTGCGTTTGATTAAATAGTTTTTTTTGTGATAGCTTATTGTTCTAAAACACTAAATTCAAATAGCTACCGACAAAGTATGCTGTTAAGCTGAGGAAAATAGCCTAAGGACTCTCGTGTAATTCTACACATAGTTTCTACTATAATTGTCAAAGCTGTGCTATATAACAATAGCTTTCTAAAACTTGTTAGTGGTAACTTCTTTTTCATGATCAATCTGTTAGGAACATATGTATTAGGATTTTGATGATACCAATGTAACTTAGAAGTAGACCCCTAACTTTTTGTCATTAGTTTGCTACCTTCGTTCTAGACGAAAGGTACCTTAACTCATCATGTAATTCGTGTTAAGTTAGACAAACACACGAAACCGAGTTAAGCTTACTTTTAGTTAGGTATTTATCAAACGAAAGAAGAACAGTTCGATGAAGCACAATCTCATTTCTACTCAACAACGAAAGATGAAATGATCTCTTACCACAGAAAGCAGAAGCCGAAAGGAGCATTCTGTTAAAAAGACCTTTATGACTGTCAACTCAAGAAGAATGTTGTCAAATGTCTCATCTGAAGATTATCCTAGGAATAAACTCTCCTAAGGATTGAGAGCACACTTCTCAAGGTGCATTAAATGCTAAGGTATTACTTTTTCGGTGCTAGAAGACAAAATAAGCAAAAGTGCTTATCTACAACGTCTATATAGTACAACTGCATTTAATGAAGCAATAAATGCACAAGGCTCTCCGGTTATTAACCACTGGATCATAGGTTTGAAATACCATCTCCCTCTAACGGATGGATTTCTTCACACCTATAAATACCCATCTTCTCCACATTAGAAGGTGCTGTTTTTTTAGAACAACTGAATTCATTCTCTCAAAAGCTCCTTATACAAGTTCACTCTCTCAAGCTTTTGAAATCCAGTGATTCAAGGTGTGAAATTTGAAAAAGACTCATCTGAATTCTTTACACATCCTTGAAGAAATCTTGCAACTTTGTACACGCTGATCATCCATCCAGTCACCAGCCAGTCAAGATTTCAACGTGTTGGAGAAACTCAAAGACTATTCAATCCAACCCTCAACTCTGAAGAAGAAGTTGATAGAGGCGGAGTAAACTCGAGGAGTTGAAAAACCTTCAAGTAGCTGTCCGGCTTAGTGATCAAGGAAGCTATCTTTGTGTATTTTGTACTAGGAGTAATAGTGCAAACCTTTCACAAGTTGTGGAAGAAGAGTAGAGTAGGCACAGTTGGCCGAACCACTATAAAAATTCTCTTGTCTCTGTCTCTTTACATTTCAGCATTTACTTTCGTGCATTGCATTCCATCAGTCCTAACCGAAAGATTCTCATAAGATCAAATTGTGCAAAGAAACTTAAAATTTACCTACATATCCGCTGCGTAATAACCCCAAAAGGAGTTATTATTCGTGAAAAACTAATTGAGTCTATTAACCCCCCCCCCCTCTAGACTCTCCTTTCAACAGTACCGGGACCAACAAGTGGTATCAGAGCATTTGCCTTGAACGATAAAAGCTTTGCCTTTACTGCCTGGTAGATCCCTTTTCTCAAAAAGTTTAAAATCTGATTTTTCTCGTCTTTGCACTCACTTTCTAAGAAAAAAAATGGAAAAGGATCATGCTAACCGATCTAGGCCTCTTGCCTTTAATCTATCAAAATTTGATGATTGGAAAGTAAGGATGCAGGCACATCTCTCGGTGATACATGATGAAATGTGGGATGTCATATGCACAGGACCCATCACAGTGATGATAGTAAACACGAATGCTGCTGCACAAGGAGCTGGTGCAGAACCCATGATTCCGAAACCAAAGGCTCAACTCAACTCTGATGAGAAAACACGAGCTAACTTGGACAATGTTGCTTGAGACATCCTCTACAAATCTCTGGACGATTCCTTGTTTCCGAGAGTTCGAAAATGCACAACAGCAATGGAAATCTGGAACGTTCTTATGAACTTGGGAGAAGGAAATGAGCAAGAAAAGGACAACAAACTCACTGTTGCCATGAAAAAGTTTGAAGACTTCAAGATGATGCCCAACGAAGCTGTCACCGACATGGAGCTCAGGTTCACCAAGCTTCTAGGTGATCTTTCAGATCTCGGAAAAGAGCTCACTGAAAAGGAGAAGAATTTGAAGATTCTTCGAGGTCTCCTGAAATCATGGGACATGAAAGTCACCGCAATGAGAGATCATCGCGATATGAAAACCACGAGCACAAGTAAAATGTGACACCCCAAAAATCCACACTCCAAACCATGAATTAATTGAGTAATTAATTCTATTTCTTTTGAGGAATTGATTCCTAAAATCCTGATTTTTGATACTCAAGGACTAGTTTTTGACTAGTCAATCTTTAAATGGTGTTGTACCTTGTGCTTTGAGAGGAGTTCCCTTGTTCCTTACACTTTCTAAGAGTTAGTAAGGGTATCCTTGTCTTTTCACCAAGAGCTAGTTTTGTAACCTAAACCTAGAAGACTTCTTCATTTCATTCCTTTACATTTCCTAGAAAATATCTCTACCTTCTCTCTAGAAAACAAGAGTAGCTTGTTCTTCAAGCCAAAAGAAGCCTTTTTTCAAGATTCCAAATTTTGCTTCCAAGATTCAATCTTTCCTCTATTTTGGCATCTAGAAGGGTAAGATCTAAGCTTGTCTAGTCTTTTTGGTTCCATCTTAGTTGTCTTTTCTTAAAGGTTGGATCTTTATGATCTTTTGGTTTGATCTTGAAGTGGGTTTGGCTAGTGAGCTTAGTGGAGAGCTTGTTGTGGTGTAAGAAGAGTCTTTTGGTCTTCAAGAGGTAACCCATGCTCTACAAAACCTATTTTGCTTACCTATATATGATTTCTTGGCTTCTACATGTGTTTTGCTATGAAATGTGAGTGTTTATGCATTTTTCTTGTGATATTGCATATCTAGAGCTTGTGTTTAGGTTTCCTTTGTGCCATTGCTTGGCATTTTCCTTGGTTCAAGTCATTTTGTTGTGCTTGGTGAGATTTGGCATGTTTTGGACTTGAATTTGTGTTTGGAGGAGAAAATCCCCGAAGGGATTGTTTGACACAAGAGCGTGTACCTGCGGGCGGAACGGCGGGGAGAGCCCTACCCACCGCCCACCCGCTGGTACACGGGAATGTGGGTGTTGTACCCGCGGGCAGAACCACGGGTAGGGGCCTACCCGTGGGTCCACCCGCGGGGAACACAGTGAGGTTGGAGTGGGATTTGTTCCCCGTGTTTTGTTTGTCTCGGTCTTTGATCTTTTGGCCTCCCGTTGTTCTTTTGTGGAACTATTTGAGCGTCTTCTTGATGTTTCATAGGTCTAGAGCTTTATGGTAGGTATCCATGTAGGATCTTTGGTGTTGTGAATCGTGCTAAGTGTTCAACATTGTGTTTCGTTGAACCATGTGGTGTCTTGTGTGTTCCTCGGAACTATCTTGAGTTTCCTCGTTGTTGAGCTTGCTAGTTATTATCCTAATGCTAGCGTCGTTGTTGTCGATGGGTGGTGACCTGTCTCTTGTTTGAGTATGTTTCGTACCTCTTTTGCAATTCGTTGCATGTTTCGTGTGAGTGGTGGTGCGTGTGTGGCTTTACCTGGATTGCACGATTAGTGGTATGAGACGCTAGTCACCAAGGTATTGCAGCGGTCCTCGTGGTGGCCGTGACGTGATTTCATGGAGTTGTGGCTGAGTCCACGTGTTTGGGGGATAACATTGTGTTATCCGGGCATGTGTTGCCGTGAATTGGTGGGTTTTCGTTGGTGGTTATAGGTGGGGGACGACGGTCCCGGAGGAATAAGGTTGGACTTGGCTGTACAGGGGCTTTCTGGAGGTAATGGTTGGCACCGAAGGTACAAGGTTGGGGGTAGCCATAAGGTTGGAACAGGGCATAAGGAAGGCATATCAACTCGTGATGTGTGATGTCACGAGGGTTTGTGAAGCCGTTGTTGTGGTGAGTTCTCTTCTCTCGTGACGTGTGTAGTCACGGAGGCTTGTGGTGTGGTGTTTTGGCATGTGTTGCCGTTGGGTGAGTCTTTATCCTTGTGTGTGGTTAATCTTTGTGGTTGGGATGTGTTCTCGGTTTTATCCTTGTAAGTGGTGAGTCTTGTGTTGTCTTTTGACTTATATATATGTATTCCATTTCGAAAATGGTTTTCATATTATATATCTACCTATTTATGATACTTAACGGTATTGGTGGGTTACCAGCATCTCTCGCTGACCGGGCGTCGCCCCGATGTTTATCTTTGTATCTTTCAGGTGATGCGTAGTCGAGCGCGATGTCTAGAGCCTGTAGCTTAGCACATGTGTCTTTAGACAGTGTTGTTGAGGCCTGTGTGCCAATGTCCCTAGATTGTTTTAGTTTGTTGTTTTTGGGATAGTGTTACACTTGCAGATTGTCGCCGTAGCGTATGCCAAGTGTGGTATACGTGGCATAACACCCCGTTTGGATTCCTTTTATCCAGTTATCTTTTTATCTTCCGCTGTGCTAGTGTTTGTTGTTAATCTGCATGTGTTAAGACTCGTTTTAAGTCTTGTTGTTTTTGGGGGGTGTTACAGTTGGTATCAGAGCCTAGGTTTGAACCTTGGTTTAGAGCCTAGGAAGAGTTGAGTCTAGACTTTCTAAGTGTTTAAGTGTGTTTTGAGACCTCTAAGCGACCTTAAGGAGCTATGTGTTAGGCTTAGGACTCTAGGTTGCGCGGTGAGATGTGTGTTGCTTTCTGTCTTGCTTGCTCTTTTGGTAACCTTGTTGTTGTAGCAGAAGTCTGTGATGCCTCCTCGCCAGCGAATCGCAGTGTTTGAAGATGTGAGTGAAGTGGTTAAGAGATCTCGGTTGGCCGAATCTAGCAGTGCTTCTGGGGTAGTTGAACGGTGGATTCGGAGTGGTACGTCTACAAGAGTAAGTTCTAGTGCAGCTTCTGTGCCGGTACTCCATGATGTAAGAGAGTATGGAAGGATAGAGGTTCATCATCCGACGGTAGGGTCATCTCAAGAGAGGGTGCTCACCTTAAATGAAGTCCGAACAAGTGACAGTGACGTAGTAGTGGGAACCTTCCTCGTGCAATCTGTGCCAGCAACAGTCTTGTTTGATTCAGGGGCATCTAACTCGTTTATATCACCCGGCCTCGTGAAGAAGTTGGGCTTATCTGGGGGCGCGAGAGTGAGGTTTAATGTGAAGGTAGCGTCAGGAGAAGTTAGGGTGTGTGACCGTCTTTTTGAGGGCATCAAGATTTGTATCAAAGGAGAAGAGTTTCCGAGCGATCTAATCCAGTACGACTTGGACGGGATGGATGTGGTCCTAGGTATGGAATGGTTGGGGCGGTTTAGAGCCCAAATCTTGTGCAAAGATCAGAAGATAGTGCTACGAGGACCCAGTGGGAAGAGAGTGTCATACCGTGGAAAGATGGAAGAACTCGGAATTAAGTTGGTGTCTATGGTAAAGATGAAGAGGTACATGGACAAGGGCAATGATGTGTACTTGTGTTCCGTCGAGAACTTGGAGGCAAAGGAGGAAGTGGCTCATACGATACCTGTAGTCCGTGAATTTCTTGATGTTTTTCCTGAAGAAATACCGGGTATGCCGCCTGCTAGGGAAGTGGAGTTTTCAATGGATCTCATGCCAGGCACTGCACCCATCTCTAAAGCCCCATATCGTTTGGCTACGCCAGAAATGCAAGAATTGAAGGCTCAGTTGCAAGAACTCCTTGACAAGGGTTATATCCGGCCAAGTGCATCGCCTTGGGGAGCTCCGGTGTTGTTTGTAAAGAAGGAGGACGGGAGTATGAGGTTGTGTATCGATTACCGGGAGCTGAATCAAGTTACCATTAAGAATAAATACCCTCTCCCAAGAATAGACGACTTGTTTGATCAACTACGTGGCGCGGGAGTGTTCTCCAAAGTTGACTTGAGGTCAGGGTACCATCAGATAAGAGTAGCAGACAAGGATATCCCTAAGACTGCATTTCAGACTCGGTACGGTCACTACGAGTTTACGGTTATGCATTTCGGTTTGACTAATGCCCCTGCAGTTTTCATGGACCTGATGAACAGAGTATTCAAATCTCACCTTGATGATTTTGTGATTGTGTTCATCGACGATATCTTGGTTTATTCAAAAGATAGGGAGGAACATGTTGGACACCTTCGGACGGTACTTCGAATCTTGCGGGAAAAGCAGTTGTATGCCAAGTTTTCTAAGTGCGAGTTTTGGAAAGACAGTGTGACGTTTCTAGGCCATGTGATTGATAGTAGAGGGATTTCTGTGGATCCAGACAAGATACGGGCAGTAAAGGAATGGGCTGCACCCTCATCGGTGTCGGAAGTAAGAAGTTTTCTTGGGTTAGCAGGTTATTATCGGAGGTTTGTTTTGGATTTTGCCAAGGTGGCTCAACCGTTGACTAAGTTGTTAAGAAAAGAAGTGCCTTTCGTTTGGGATCAAGCTTGTGAATCAGCATTCCAGGAGTTGAAGGAGAGACTCACGTCTGCACCAGTTTTAATTCTACCATTGGGAACGGGAGGTTTTGAGGTATACAGCGATGCGTCCAAGAAGGGACTAGGTTGTGTGTTGATGCAGAACGGGAGAGTGATTGCTTACGCCTCACGTCAGCTTAAGGTTCACGAAGAGAACTACCCTACACATGATTTGGAATTGGCCGCTGTGGTGTTTGCTTTGAAAATTTGGAGGCATTATCTCTATGGGGTGCGTTGCAAGATATTCACGGACCACAAGAGTCTCAAATATATCTTCACCCAAAAGGATCTCAATATGCGGCAACGAAGGTGGTTAGAACTCATCAAGGACTATGAGTTAGATATTCAGTATCATGAAGGAAAAGCCAATGTGGTAGCGAATGCCTTAAGTCGGAAATCGAAGCATACCGCTAGCTCTATTTGGGTGGTGGCGGATGAGCTTTGCAAGGAGCTTCAACGGATGAGTTTGGATGTGGTGGAACAAGGAGATGTGGAGGCAGAAGTTCGTTGTTATAACTTAAGGATTGTACCTACGTTTCTGGGAGAGATCAAGGAAGAGCAGCAAAAGGATGTGTTCTTGACCAAGGTAAGGGATGACCTAGCTAGAGGAAAAGGGGGACCGTTTGAGTTACATGCGGATGGAGTGTTGAGGTACAAAAGCCGTGTGTGCATACCCGCGTCATGTGATCAGTGGAAGCGACGGATTTTGGAAGAAGGTCATAACACACCCTATTCGGTTCACCCCGGAGGAGACAAGTTATACAAGG